AGGCCTATGTTTTTTGTTTGTTGTTGTCTCATACTTTTAGATACGCTGTTATTTGTAAATGCTACTGCGTATGTTAGCTTTTAATATACAGTTTTATCCTGATTAAAGCTTTAATACAGTACGGCAACTGCACGTGCCTCCATGTTTAACGCTTCTCATAACTTTGTGTGAGATGTGTGAGGAAAGCACGGAAGATCATCAGAGACTCCTGCCACCCGAGCCACGAACTCTTCTCACTGCTACCATCAGGCAGACGGTACCGCAGCATCAGGACCCGAACCAGCAGAACACGAGACAGCTTCTTCTCGCAGGCCATCAGACTACTGAACTTCAGATAGCAAAACGATAATCACCCACCTACCCCTACCCCTCAAACTGGATTCCATCTACACACCAGCACACTGACTCTGACAGCACTGTTATATAGTGAAAAAATTGTATATTGTTATTTATGTATACTGTTTATTTTTCATATCTTGTTGCTTGTACTGCCATGGCACAGAGTCTTGTACCCAAGAATTTCACCATCGTTACACTTGTGAACACGATGTGTGACAATAAAGAGATTTGATTTGATTTGACACACACACATACACACACACACACACACACACATACACATACACACGACAGAAGTTAGCAAGAACACCACAAACACATACCTCAATATATCTACTGTCCATCAAAGAGAGGCTGCACCATTCTTCATCCTGGAAGCTAGTTGGCTATCGCTGCCTGTAAATAACTCATAGATTCAGCTATTGGTTCAAATAAGGTGTCAATCAAAAGGGCAGAGGTCAGCGGCCATTTTGACATAGATTATTCCGTGTTGTTTACATGCAAACACAAGCTATACTTCAGAATGCGCAGAGGATTTGAGCGCTCTGTCGGCTAATCTGAAATGATACTACTACACTCCGTGGATGTTTATCAACATATAAATGTGTTATGGACTAAATATTTCACTGAATTGGATAGTCTGGACCCTTTACAGTGTAACTACACCATTTTTGTTGGAATGTAATGAACTAGTGGACTAACAAGAGGCTTCATAGGTGAGTTCCTTCAGTTTTGTTATTGTTTATTTGGTTGTTGTTGGTCTGACAAAGACACTGATTGTACCTGGCAGAGGTCAGCGGCCATTTTGACCACAATGAATCCGTGATGTGCATGTGTGAAAACAAGCTATACTTCAGAATGCGCCGAAGATTTGATCGCTCTGTCGGCTAATTTGAAATGATACTCCTACATTCTGTGGATGTTTATAAACATGTAAATGTGTTATGGACTAAATATTTCACTGAATTGGATAGTCTGGACCCTTTACAGTGTAACTACACCATTTTTGTTGGAATGTAATGAACTAGTGGACTAACAAGAGGCTTCATAGGTGAGTTCCTTCAGTTTTGTTATTGTTTATTTGGTTGTTGTTGGTCTGACAAAGACACTGATTGTACCTGCTGTGTTGATTGTATCTTAAAATGCGTCATTCGAATCACAGGAATCTTAGCGTTCCAAAGATATATGACACGTTTACCTTTTTTTTTTTTGTGTGTGTTTCACGAAGTTAACCCTCAAAGCATGCAGTGTACCGCGGGCGGCACACTGGAGCTGTATCAGGTTGTATTTTACATGACCATAAGTATTTAAGCATGCCCATGGTGAACAGGCTTCTCTCATGCACTCTTGAATGTGCAATATAGAACTAAGGTAAGATGTTCAGTAAAAATAAGATGAAAAAGTCACATGGATGTCATTGAATGTCATTGTTTACTCACCCTCATGTCATTCCAAACCCATAAGACTTTAGTTCTTCAAAACACACAAAGATCTTTTGAATGAAATCTGACAGATTTCTGTCCCTCCACTGACAGTCCACGCATCTGCCACTTTGATGCTTTAAAATTCATAAAGCGATTGTAAAACTAGTCATGTCAAGTCACCTTTATTTATATAACACTTTTAACAATACAGATTGTGTCAAAGCAACTGTACAGCATTAATTAGGATTTTCTCTTTTCAGTTATACATAGTTTAAAAGTGTTTCACAGGTGAAACCTATTGACATCAGTGTTCACTTCGAAGGGAAACCAGATAGAAATATACTTCTGTCAGGACCACTATCGTCAAAGATGATTGACAATTAACATACAGTTTGGATTGGCGGTATGGTTCTGTTCTGGGCAAGAACTCCCTGCGCATCCATAGCATGGATGAGAGCAGAGACAGCAGCAATAACGCCCCCAGGGTAAACAGAACAGAACCAACAGAAATGTATTGCAGATATAGTTAAAGTTCAATAATTTTATGTACACACTTTAGTATTAGTCTGCTTCAAAGGAGAATCAGAAGGCTGAATCTCGACTGACAGAGGAGGAGTTGGGGATGGAGGAGGGTAATTAGCTATTGAGCAATGCGAAAACTGCTGATATTGAAGATCTGTGTGAAGATGGGGGCCAGCTGGTAAGCACAAGATTTCAGACAGGCTGGTGTAACACAATCTGGGCCTGGTGCTATTCTCCTTTTCTGCTTCCGGAAGACCTGGCGCACCTCGTCTTCACTGATTTGAGGTGCAGGTGTGGGGAGAGGGGGGTTGCAGGAGGTGTTAATGGTTGTGTGGAGAGGTGTTCAGGGCGGGTGTGGGGTGTTTTTTCAAACCTGCAGTAAAACTCATTCAGATCGTCTGCCAGTTGTTGATTCTCCACAGTGCTGGGAGATGGTGTCTTGTGCTTAGTGATGTCTTTCAGACCTTTCCTCACTGATGCTGAGTCACTGGAAGAGAACTGAA